CGCACCGGCAACCCTCCGGGATAGTTCCTCGTCGCTAACCCCTTGTAACGTTTCACGCTCAGCGGCCGCACATAGTAGGGTCATATCCGCTGCGGCCTGCTCGCTGTGTTGCAACAGGTTATACCCCCCCGGGATTAGAATTCGACGGTTGGATCTACCTACCGCCATCCCAACACGGGCCGGACCCCGCGTTGACGCTTCTGCATCTGCCTGGGCGACCTCAGGGCCCACCCTCTCGGCACCATGATCCGCCCCTCCAACGGCAGCCGACGAGCCGATTTCCGGAATGCGTGTTGGCCTGGCGTCAGGAACAGCCCCCCTTTGGGGAGCCGACCTCCCAGAACGGATGGCATCCGCCATAAAAACAGGCCTTGACTCCCGACGAGGCTCACTCGCCCCCTCATCTACCGTGGCTACCCCCTTGCCGGTTATCAACCGACGTCTCTTTCTTTCCGGCGTCTCCTCACTATTAGAGGACCCCTCCACAGCCCGAGGGATGGCATCGAAGGAGTCGCTCCCCTTGCGGACGCCGCCACAGGCATCGATTGAGGAACCTCCGTGGCGTCATCACTGGGCGAACCGCAGGGTATGTATCCACCTTCAGAATCGGTCCTCGCCCCAGGTAGGATGACGACTCTCTTTTTCTTCTTCTTAGGGGCGCTCCGACCTGCCAAACACTAACAAATCAGGTAACGAACACGTAAGGAATCCCCAAACCGTAGCCAAAGAATTACCTGACGGGCCGTACTGTCGAAGAAAGGCAGCCCAGGTACGGCACTCCTCCGCATAGGGTATTATTCTTCCCACCCACGATTTAATGTCATCAACGAGCTGGGGTGGAGAAGCCCTCGCTGCGAATAAAAAAGAGAAGAAAAACAAAGGTCACAATGGCCGTATGGTCGAAAGCGCAAGCGGCACTGAAATTTACAAATAGAAATACTTACGTTCTGGATTCCATTTTTCCGGGAAACCCTCGGGATTCGACACCAGGTGCTCCGTCCTAATGTAGAAATATTTACGCCAAAAACGGCGGTTGGGCTTATCATCGGCTTGAACGACCAAGCCCTTTGCGCCACGACCTTTCAACTGCAGCATAGTACCCCTCAAGTAACCAGCGCTGAACAACTGTAAGAGGTGATGGACTGAGACGCTGCACCCAGCCCTGGCAGCATAGGTGGTCATGATACGGCACACCTTCAAAGTATAAGGAGTAAGCTGGCCGGACATACATTGTAAAAACGGCAAAGCTCCTCCGCCAGAGTATAGACCGGAAGGTCGTAACCGATCAAGAACGGGTACTCGTAGAAGGCGCAATATCCAGGCCGGTACACATCCGTCCCGGCCGGAACCATG